CCAGATTCCTGGCCCCAAACCAGACCACTGCAGCAGCAGTCTGGTAAAAGGTAGCCTGGCGCCTGCTGCCCAGAGCTGTCCACAGGACGCTGCCTGGGTCTCCTGAGGTCCCGCTGGCCGCCACACACACCCCTGCAAGGGTGCCTTGTCCTTCCCTGGCCCCAGCGACCCCGGGGCTTGGCCGTGTCCGGGCTGCGTCTCCACTTGGCCCGTTGGTTCCGATGCAGCTTTTGTGGTGCAGAGAGGACTGGGGTGGCTGCCAACGCTTTTATCTTTTTATTTTATCTGCCAGCCTAGAGCTTTTCCTGCCGACGCTCCCTGAATCTCAAGGTAAGGGAAGCCGGTCGACCTTGAGTAGCTTGAGTATTGGTTTGAGTACCACCGGCGGCTCTCACTTCATGTCCTGGGTCCCCAGTCCTGAGACACATCCAGGCCGGCTACTCTCTGATCCTGTCACTTCTGTTCACTGTATCTTCAGGCAGTCTTGGTGTAGGGCCCTCCCCCAGCCCCCTTCCCCCCAATAAAGCTAATTCAGATCTTGTGTGTCAGCCTCTGGTGGCTTACACCTGTCATCCAAGCTACTCAGGAGGCTGAGATCTTGAGGGTTGTGGTTCAGACCCAGCCTGGGCAGACAAATCCTTGAGACTCATCACCAGTTAACCAGTCAAAAGCTGGAAGGGGAGCTGTGGCTCAAGTGGTAGAGCTCCAACCTTGAACAAAAAAGCCAAGCAAGAGTGGGAAAGTCCTGAGTTCAAGACCCAGTACTGGCACACACACACACACACACACACACACACATGTGAAAAAGATCCTGTAGAATCAAGAAGGTGACAATCTATACGTTTGCAGTTCTAGGCGGGGCAATGGCTCCTTGAAGGTATCTAGGCCTCACGCCTGGAGCCCGGGGCTATGACCTTCTCTGACCGTCTAAAGGGGCTTTGCAGATGTAGTTATGGGAGGGTCTCTAGATGAGGGTTTTCCTTACTGAATCTCATGAGTCCTTAAACAAACAAACAAACAATAAAACAGAAGCCCTTGCCTAGCCTAATCAGAAACAGAATCCTGTTAGAACAGAAAACTTCAAAGCTCTTAACCTACCTCTGCTGCCTTGATGATGGAGAAGGGGGCCACACACTACCAAACTTCCAAGCTGAGAATGGCCTTCAGTCAAAGCCAGCGAGAAAACGGGGCTCAGCCCAGGTATGGTGGTGCATGCCTGTAATCCCAGCACTTGGGAAGCTAAGACGGGAGTTGGAGTCAGAGGCAACCCTGCCCTACATAGAGAATTCTAGGCCAGTCTGGGCTACACATGTAGTGTAACCCTGTTTCAAGAAGCCAAAAATAGCTGGGTGCTGGTGGCTCAGGCCTGCAATCCTAGCCACTCAGGAGGCCGAGATGGGAGGATTGTGGTTTGATGCCAGGCCAGGCAGAAAAGTTTGTGCTCTAGTACTAGCACCAAAAATAGCCAAAGAGAGAGAGAGGAGAGACAGATAGAGAAAAAGACAAGAGACAGCGACAGAGACAAAGATACAGAGAGAGAGACAGAGAAAGACAGACAGAGATTTCACTCCTAAGAACCACAGGACACTGAATTCTGGAGACCCACACCACACTTCTGACCTGCAGAGCAATAATAAATTTGTGTTGTTTAATTGATGCTCATTTTTATGGCAGCAATAGAAGAACTGAATCACCCCTACTTTACAAAGCCAACCTTAATAAAAACAGAGTTCTGACTTTTCTCATGTCTGGGGATGAAAAGATCTATGCAGAGCTGAAAGTCTAGCACACCTGCTCCCTTCCTCTCCCTGTCCTCCCTCCCTTCCTCTACTCCCCAGTGGAAAGCCAGGAACCAGCAAGGAGAGCTGACTTAGAGCATGGTACCTGAAAATAGAAACTGCAACGTGACTTTATTTCCAACTCCAATCGTCAACCTGGGTCTCATTTTCCAAATGGGGCAGGCTGGGCGAACCCTGCCTTCTTTCTCTCCCACCAGGGAAGGCCTAGCAGGACCCCACCCCCCACCCCAAAATCAGCTTCAGAAACAGAACTCTAAGGGGTTTCCTTACCCAGCAGGAGATAAACTACCTATAGGAGACAACCGGATCACAGACTCCCTTAAGGCTCTTCCTTTCTTTCCCCTTTTCTTTTTCTTTTTTTTTGTGCTGGTCCTGGGGCTTGAACTTGCCTCAAGCTCTTGCTTGGCTTTTTGGCCCTAGGCTGGCTGCCTTATAACTTGATCCACATCTCCACTTCCATCTTTTTATTGGCTAATTGGCGTTAAGAGTCTGACAGAGGGCTGGGAATGTGGCTTAGTGGTAGAGTGCTTGCCCAACATGCATGAAGCCCTGGGTTCCATTCTTCAGTACCACATACACAGAAAAAGCCGGAAGTAGCACTGTGGCTCAAGTGGTAGAGTGCTACCCTTGAGGAAAAGAAGCTCAGGGACAGCACCCAGGCCCAGAGTTCAAACCTCAGGACCAGACACCCCCCCCCAAAAAAAAAAGATGGTGGCAAGGAAGAGAACAGGTGTAATGCTCAGCCCCACCCTCCAGTGCTCAAAGTGACAGGTGCACAGCCATTTCTTACTCAGCTGCTTACAGCTTAATTGGTTCAGTGATTTTTCTTTTCCCTGATAGTCATCAAAGAGGTTGCACCTGGGACTTGAACTCAGGACGTTGAGTTCTCACTTAGCTTTTTCACTCAAGGCTAGTGCTCGATCACTTGAGCCACAGCTCCATGTCTGGCTTTTTGGTGGTTAATTGGAGTTAAGAGTCTCATTGACTTTCTTACCTTCGAAATGTGATCCTCTGATCTCAGCCTCCTGAGTAGCTAAGATTACAGGTGTGAGTCATCAGCCTAACACCCTCCCCCCCACCCAGAGAGTTTTTTTTTAAAGCATAGATTAATTGGACCAAGGTGTCTTGCTGCTACAGTATTTCCACAGGTGTGTGACATACATCCGTTTCACCTTTCTTTTGTACTCCCTCCATTCCCTTCCCCCTCCGGCTCAAACAGTATTTTGTGGGCTTCATTCACATATGCATAATACATTTCACCATGCTCATTGGTTTGGGGATATTTTATTTTATGTGCCAGTACTGAGGCTTGAATTTACAGTCTGGGTGCTGCCCCTGAGCATTTTTATTTGAAGCTAGCATTCTGGACTTGAGCCAGAGCTCCACTTCTGTGGGGTTTGTTTTCCCCCTGGTTTATTGGAGATAAAAGTCTTAAGGACCTTCCTGCCTAGGCCGGCTTTGAACCAGAATCTTTGGATCTTGGTCTCTGGAGTAGCGACAATTACAGGTGTAAGCCACCAATCACCAATGCCTGGCTCTTTGTGGATCTTTGAAAAGATGCCCCCAAGGTCACCGAAGGTCACCGTGTGATAGTCACATAGAGATCTTGGAAGTGGGCTGCCCCCCCCCCCCCAGCTTCTGGAATGTGAGTCCTGCCCTGGGCCTAGTCTGGCTTGGCTGACTCCTGCCTCGGCTCCTCCAGCCCCCTTCCTACCCCAGACTTCACCCAGCGTGACCTAAGTCCCTCCTAGACTCAGCAACTCTCTGCAAGCCCCTGGGTGGCCCCCTGGGCTTGGGGACAGCAAGCCCCAGCACCCCTCGGCTCCCCGGCCTTCCTGGAACTTCCTTGCCCAACATCCTGTGTGGTAATCCGGCCTGCTGGCTTCCTTTACTCGCGGTCGCTGCCAAGTTCCTCCAGCTCCTAGCTCTTCCTCCGCCTTCCGTCTGGAAGTCCCCGCTCCAGACAGCGACCGGCGCTCTGCAGCCTCGGTCCGCGGGGGACGGGGTACCCGAGCCCCGGAGGCGGCCGCGGCGGCAGCCAGGGCCGCCCTGCCTCAATCGGCTCTGCAGAGAGAAAGGGCCACCGAGGGGAGAAGCCGCCGCGCCCCCAGCAGCAGGGGCATCGTGGGCACGGACAGAGGGGCCCGGGCTGGACAGGCCCACCATTTCATCGATGCCAATCTAGGGGGAGGTCGGGTAACCCGTTCCAGGTCCCAGAGAGGAGCCGCCGACTCGGCTCCGGGGGCCTCGTCCAGGACACGACCTCCTCCCCCCTCGGTATCTCTTGGGGCACACGCGCGTCCGGACGTCGCAGCGCAGCCCCGCGACGGGCACGAGACCTCGGAGAGGAGAGCGGGGCGGGGCGTGCCGGCCGGGGCCGGAGTCCGGGCCCCGCCCCCGCGCCAATCAAGTCAGCACCCGGAGGCCCCGCCTCCTCTCAGGCCAATAGGAGACGGGGGCGTGGCTT